CGAGGTCCGCGCTGTCCCCGGCTCTGCTGTCGCCACTTCCAGCCCCCGGGCAGCGCGTCCGCTCCCCTCCGAGAAGTGAAGGGGCTCGGCTCCCGAGGGCCGCGTGCGACCGTCCCCCGGGGCTCACTGCCACTTTTCGTCCTCCACGTTTGCGCCCTGCGACCGCGGGTTCTGGTGATGGTGCCACGGCTCCTGCGGTGAGCGCGGTGGGTCCAAGCCCGGTCCTCCGTGGGATTGCACAGACCGCAGGGACAGAGAGACTTGCCCTCCAGGACAGCACAAGCAACCTGCGGTGACACAGGACTCACGGGTCGTGCGGTTAGGAAGCTAGTGAGGTGGGGGGCAGGAGGCTTGCCTGGGGAAGGGCCATCTGACCTGGGACACAGATAAAATAGCCCTCTGCCTCTGTTCAGTGAAGGGAGAGAAGGCTCAGCAGGCAGAGGGGAGAAAACGCTAAGTAGAGACAGGCACCCAGGGGTGTGAAGTGACAAGGAAAGGCACATTGCCTGGTATGGATTGAGCATTTGCGGTGAAAGGAACGAGATCAGTGCCCCGTTCGAAGAGCCCCAAGCCGCTGAGAGTTTGAGCAGAGGCCTGGCTGTCAGATTGATGCAGAGGGCGGATGGAAGGAAAAGCCAGGGCCAGAGAGCACTTCAGAAGCTACTGGAACAGGCCAGCCCCGAGTCCCCGAGGCCGAGTACAAGATGGTAGCAGAGGGAAGGGGCAGACAAGAATGAGCTTTCAGGGCTACAAACCCCAACGTTTGGCAAATAATTGGACACTAGGGTCAGGGAGAGTGTAGGATGAGAGGTCTCTGAGGCTTTGGAAGGCCCGATCGGGGGTGTCTCTAGCCAGGCTGGGGAAAACGTTGTGAACTCAGTTATCGACATCCCAGTGGGATCATGGCACAGTCAGGGCTAGACCACGCTCTCTGGATGCTGGAGGGATGCGGTCATCGAGCGCAAGGGTCTCTGGCCCCTTTGAGAAGCTGATGCACAGAAACGACAGTTTGGTTTTTTGTTGTTTTTTTAAGATTTTATTCATTTTTTTTGACAGAGCACAAGCAGAGGGAGTGGCAGGCAGAGGGAGAGGAAGAAGCAAACTCCCCGCGGAGCAGGGAGCCCGATGTGGGGCTCGATCCCAGAACCCTGGGATCGTGACCTGAGCCAAAGGCAGACAGACGCTTAACCCACTGAGCCACCCAGGCACCCCAGAACCGACAGTTTACTCTAGAGAACCACACACTGGAGATGTCGCACACTGTCTTAGGAGGCCCACAGACACCCCCACCCTCCCGCTGCCCTCAGCACAGCCACGGGCCCCAGGGGAGCGGAAAGGTAGCCGTGGGAAGGAAAATGGAGCAGAGCTATGCTCCTGGGCCACGAGAACCGGCAGCAGAAGGACAGTCCTGTGCCCCTCCCCCCCGTAGATAATCAATTGTTTGAATATTTCATCAGTGGGTCCAGCTTCCCAGCGAACGCAGAGAACTTACAGTTTTCACTTGTTAACTGCTCATATGAACACTGCAGAGACAGGCAGAATCCTACTTTTAAAAATGTCATTACACCAAGAACGAATTTCTCTGGAAGACACTTAAGCCTGACAATGCCCACCTGTTTCAAGCAGGACTACTCACTACAACCAAGTGATTCCCAGTTCCTAGAGGAACTGTGGTGGGCCTTACGTGATAGTAGGATTCCTGGAGTTTGTGGGAATCATCTGTATAGAAACATAATCATATTTTAAATGCAGGCATGATACTTATTACCAAGAAATCCAAGCAAAGCAACAACTTTCAGTAACTTTATAATCACTCCCTTTTCTGCAGAGAGACGATGTGTGCATTCACACAATTTCTCCCTCGCACATTTTGGGCTGGAGAATGGGATGATCTCTTATTAAAGGCAGCTTTGAAGATCATCTTAAATTATTGTGTGAGTTGCAACGGCTTGTCTCGTGTGTGCCCTAGACAACAATCAAAAACTGACTTGATGGCTGTGGGTTAATTTGTAGTTTTTTCAGGGCTAGACGAAGGAGGGACAATGATATAAACCCCACCCCCCAAACTCTCCTTCCTTCCTGGCCTGGCTCCTGGGGATTTTATGCAGTGTTCCCTCTAGGGTTGTCTAACCAAAACAAATTTCCAAATCGCTTTACAAGCAGCACACATCAATATTCACTTGAAGATTGGGAAGTGTTGGTTTTTAATTAAAAAGAATTTAACAAGAAGCAGAAATGTGATCTAGCTCCTGTCCTCCTCAACTCCGCCCTCCACGTCTTAGCATGTTACATACGTATAACCCACGCCATTGCTCTGCATACACTTTATATTTGGAGAATAATTATGAAAATCAGATTATATGTGGCTGCCCCTATAAAAGAAAACCATTTGATTTTGCGTTTGAAGTGTGGCTTCCAAAGGGGTCAGCTCCTTATAAGCTTAATGAAGGACAAGGAACAACCATTTCACAAGGGGCACGCCATATTCCTGGCCGAGTACTGAGCCCCACACTGCGAGCTCTCGATCAACCTCAATTACGTATTCCTGCCAGTCTTGCTGTCTTTCCTATAAGTGGACAGGCACCCTGGGCAATGCACACAGATATAATTTGTCCTAACAACAAAGAGCCTTAAAAGTAATGAGATAGGAGAATGGATAAACTGATTGGTATGTTCATACAATGGAATACTACTGAGCAATCAAAAAGAATGACCGAGTGGATGTATCTCAAAAATGTCATGTTAAAAGGCCAGAGTACACACTGGGTACATCCACATGTTTGAAGTTCAAGAACAGGTGAGCTCTTTGCTATGTTGAGAGTGGTTCCCCTCAGCAGGAGAGGGTCTTGCCCGGGTACAGGCGCTAGGAAGCGCCGGGCGATGCAAATGTTCCATGTGTTGGTCTGGGTGGTAGTCACACGGGTGTAGACCTGTCTGCCGAGGATTTGCGCATTTCCCTGTATATCCATTATACCTCCATAAAGTCTTGCGGAGAAGAAAGTAAATAAATGGTACCTCTCGGCAGGATAATTTGAGTTCTTGACCTTGCCTGCTTTGGGGTTCCATTCCTTATCAACGTGCGTCTTACGGCCCCGCGACTCTGCAAGCACTTCAAGAGGATTTTGAAGCTGCATGCTTTCTCCAATTTCCCTTTCATGTAACTAAAAAGAAGTGATGTCTTTCAAAAAAAACAGTCGTTAGCTCTTCGGGAGAGGAAAGGGAACTTATCCGAGGGCGTGCAGAGCCTGTGAAATGTTTTCTGGTGTTGCTCATTTTCAAACCTCCGAGCAATTGTGTGCGAGTCAGAAGTGTGTCGAAAAGCGAGGGAAAGAATTAATTCAGTGATGGAGAAAGTGCCGTATTCCCCGCCCCCCCCCCCCCAGTTTATGCTTTGGGTGTGATCTTACCACGCACTGGGGCGGCATTTCCAAACACGCTGTGCTCATCACCTCTAAAGTTGTCCTGTGGACAGTGCTATTTAATTAGTTTGCTCGTGGAGCGATCTGGCAGGAGAGTGACGTGTGATTTTCGCTGTAAACGCTGGGAGCGTGAAAAGATGACCACACTTGCCTGGAATTTAACAACTGTGGTGGTAGCGCTTTCTCCCACACCACATTCGAGCGAAACATGAATCATGGACGGCCGTGATCAGCCGCCTCTTACTCGGTGATTTTGGAAACATCAGCAAACTTTGAGACAAGGGAAGCTGGATTTCCATTTATTAGCAACTCCTCTGAGTTGTCAGTTTGCATAGTAGGCAACTTAAACTATATATGCTCTTTGTTCCTGAAATTGTTTTATAGATGAGGAACGGGTGAGAGGTTGGCACCAAGTTATTGATTCCTTCTGTGGCGGAGAACTGGTGAAGACCTCTAAAAGATTATGCCCCCAAAACTTGCCCCAAGCTTTTAGAGAGCAAGCTTCTTGAAAAATGCCATTATTTTTTATATGGCTGGGAGAACAGAGGCCAGGCCTGTTAGACATTCACACCTTAGTCTGAATGTCTTTCACTATTAATTTGCCATATATATGTATCACCTGACTGCACAATAAAAGGCTTTGCTTTTCTCCTCCCACCTAACTTGGGAGCAGTGAGGGAATGAGAGCTGTGCTTTGGATGGTGGGGAGGACGATGAAGGGTGGGGTACTCTGGCGCAGTGAGCCTTCTCCAGGCTGCTGGATGGAGCAGACGCGGCCACCACAGTCCAACGTGAGAGCATCACTGGAGCCGGGAAAGACGGTGGTGTCGGGCGGGGTCTGTGAGAGGCCGGTCAGTGGATATGTTCAACTTTGCGGGCCATACAGCCTGTCACAACTCCTCAGCTTTCCTGTTGTAGCCTGAAAGCAGCCACAGACAATACATCCGCAGATGAGTGGGGCTGTGTTCCAGTAAAACTTTATTTCTGCACACAGAAATTTACATTTCATATCATTTTCACGGGTCACAAAGTAGTCCCCTTTTGATCTTTTTTTCTAAAACATTCGAAATGTAAACCCGTTCTTCTCCCACAGGCCTTACAAAGACAAGCATTGGGCCAGATTTGGGAGCAGACTGTGCGAAAACTGAATTTTGCTTTACGGCACGTTTCTGCCAGAAAGCCCTAGCAGCGGTAACAACGACAGGACCACTAAAAATCAGTGTTTAGAAGCTGACCGGGATTCAGATCCTGTTGTTTCAAACTCCGAGGAAGTAAGTCTACAAAATCTCTCCTCGGGTTCGAAATGCATTATTACCATAGCACTTCCAAGAGTGGGTTGGTAACAATCCCACTTCTTATGTATCTTATTCTATAAAACTCTCTGTACTATTATATAAGGTGGAAGTACACTGCA